AAAAGCAGGCCACTGGCTCCTGGTCACATCTCATCCTTACTATCCATTATAGAAAAGCTTGTTGAAATGAAATGAATGGAAGAAAAGGAATTCTGTTGAATGACAAAACACTGATTCAACTTATTCGAAACCGTCTGCTTAAAAAGTCAGTGGTTCAATCTTTGAATAAAACTAGACAGGTTCCAATTCTCTAGTTCGGGACTTTAGGATGGTCCACTCTGAACAGTTTACTCAGGGGTCAAATATACAAAACCACATTCTACCAATAACTTTATTAAAAACGCTGCTAATCACAAACTCCGCAAGATTATTTTGTGAAACGTAAACGCAAACCTGGAGGTTCCATAGTATTCGGTTTTCAAATATGTTAGCTTTTTCTCCTCTGGAAGCAACCGGTAAATTCCGTCTTTCAAATTACAGGGTAAGTCATTCGATATAACTTATCCAGCATGAATGTGGCATCTTTTTATCTTGTTCAGTTCGTCTAACGCAAATCCAGGGTCTGCTCTCTCTCTTTCACTCCCTTGATTTCTCTTTTTTCCCTCTTGTAAATGTCACCCAAACCTTGTCATCAGGATAGAATGTCACGCCACTCGTACCTAATATCCGTATCCCCGAAACACGTTCAACTTGAAACCACAAAAGTCACATCATTACCGCATGCCTCATTGGGCCGGTATTTTTGCCTGTGACCGGAAACTGGGCTACAGCAAAACAATTCGTGTGCAGAACACAGCACCCTAGTGATTGCTTTTTCCAAATGAATGCAGTTCAAAGGCAGTGCAATAGACAAAAATTACGGCAGGCCAGATCGATTTGATGTGATGTCTACCGCATGCATGGGATAATTTGTGGCGCCAGTTCTGCAGAATTTGTAAAACAAGATGCACGTGGTTACATTTGCTTGCATGTTGGAGCGATATGGCAGAAAAGAAACAGAAATGAGCATATTTGGTCAGGGGTCGAGTAAATCCGTTCGTTAAATAGTCCAGTGAACAAATCACCGCACAGGCGTGTAAAACATTGCTAACGAACATATTGTTCTGCTTTGAGCAAGGTTAGGTTACGTGTCATCTCAGGTTTACAGCAGTCAAATTTTTGAATATCGCTTGGATGAATCGGCGACATCCTAGAGCTACCAAATTTCAAAATTATTAGAAGCATCCGTTCAATGAGACGAAAGCTGTGATTGGTGGTTTAATAGACCCTCTTTTATAAGGGAAAACACAAGCCATTACACGTATGACATTCAATCTCTTGCTTCACAAGGTTAATAATGTAACCAATGACGATAGGCATGTACTACCTAGCCTCTGTGGCCTGAACGACAGCGTACTAGTTTGCATGGTTCATCAGAACGTGGTGGGACCAACCATAAATGGCCATCGCAGAAAGCTATTCGTTCTATCCTACCAGGGAATAATCATAAAGAAACACCTCATCTCAGCACACACCAAGATACAATACCAACTAAGTGAATGTACACTTTTCGATATCTCTCCATCTGCATCAAATGCATGTGGAACTGACAAAATTGATAACATTAGCAAATGCATTTTAAACTGGTTGGTAGTCAGTGCTGAAATTCGAGAGCGATATAGCTGATGTAAAAGTAGAGTCAGGGAAGGACAATGAGTGATTTTCGGGCCAAGCAGGACTCTTCGTCTGTAGGAAAAGCTTTTGTGTCCAGAAGTGAGACCTGAAAATTTGCTTCCAAATGACTTATTCAGCAGAAACGCGCTTAGTTCTTGGAAGTTTGAGTGTGCAAGATGGCACTCCAAAAAGTGGCTTACAACAGTTAAAAAAATCAATTGTATGTCTGTTGTCAAGGGACATACCTAAAACATTAATATTCACGTTGGCCTTTCGACAGCACGGAGGGTATGGGTTTACAAGTATGCTTTGATAACTGCCTTGTTTCCCGTTTGAAACTTCACAAGGTGAACAAATGAGGTGGTGTGGAGAAGGTGTTTACACATTAGTTCTTAGCTGATAACAGAAAGGCTGGTGAAAGCCACGCTCCATATCGCAGCGCATGTTTTAGCAAAAGGTTTATTCGAGATTTTTCACCATCAGCCTGCTCATCACATTACCCTTGAAAAAAAAGACGCATCCACTTGAGTTTTGTCTCTTAGATAGTTTCTTTCAGTGGTCCTAATCGGGAATTATTTGCCAGGAATCTGTCTTGGAAACCGTTGTGCTAAACCACATTTCTCTTAGAACCTACTGTCTCCTCTAGAGAGTTTGCCTAGTGAATACTTCGTGCTTCTTCATATAGGCAATGCACAGCATTCGGTTTGGCCTTCACCGGATCGAGGGAACATCAAAACCTGTTCATACTGATTTTCGGTCTACGCGTCAATCTATTGATCCACCTTGTGTTTCCGACCGTAACATGTCAAGAAAGCATGATTGGTTTTCCTGTTCATATTCCTGACTGAGCCTCATTGAAAGCACCCTGAATGAAAGTATCCTCAACGCACCTATCATCTATATGGTGAGAACACTGTATAATGTTGGCCAGTTTCGTACTTTCGAGTTTAGACGCGAATACATCTTTACACAACGGTGACGGTCAGGACTACTCCACCTATTTTCAGTAATACTGTTCGTGGAACACTCATGCAACATTCAGTGTACAAATTAAAATCATTTCTGCTAATTTTAACGAATATAAACCAGTCGGAATCTTTAGCCATTCAGTGACTTCCCACGGTAGAGACTGGCAAAGTGCTGGGCGCTGCGCAGCATGTTGCGTCTCATCCCAATGTGGTAATTGGGTCTGTTTTTTCTTGAAATAATTCACTATTCGTAAAGTTGTTAAAAACTGTTAAATCTTCTCCTAGTCCTCTTATGGACTTGTTAGACAGATGCAATTCCCTAATTTCCATCATCCATGAGTGGATGTATGGTTACGCAAGGATGCAACAATCATCTTACCGTTCTTTTGATTTTCAAAAACACGGTAAACACACGACCTTTCACTGTCCGATCATCGCTGGTCCTGTTAATTCTCTGCCATGTAAAGGGATGTCTCCTTCCCCAGAGAACCCCGTATTAATGCCTTCAACAGCATTTGCTTACCTGAAGCAATCTTATTTACGGGTTCCCGAATTCGGATAAACAGTGATTGAGTGAGGGCACCGGATGATTCAAATTCGCAGGACATTTGCAAAAAAACTGTCAATGACTGATTCAAAAATTTAGTGGATTCATCTTCAGTAAAGGTCTTCACTTCACAGTATTCAGACGCTAACTGCATCCATTCGTCAAAGCTAGTCCCGTGATCAAAATATTAGATATGTATACGTACTGATTCATTTTGTATAGTGGGACCGTTCAAATCGTTGATTGGATCATTGCCAGAAGGATCACCAGCGCAAAAAAACAACGATTTTTAATTTGACGTTAAGGCTGTACAGTAATACTACACTTTTTAGTATATTTGTTCATTTTTCAAAAAACTGCTTGTACGCGTTCTTGAGTCAATAAATACGACGTGAGAAGGTCACCGGTGAATGAAGATGGATGAATTTAATTTTAAAATCTGTTTGGAAGACGTCAACGTGTCTGCTGAAGCCTGTTTGAATGGGTGGCGATGGAAGTTTGGGAAGGAGATAAAAACTGGGCTAGCAGGAATTTGAGGAGTTCGATTTGACCTTTCTTTTCAAAACTTTAGGGCATTCCAGAACGGAACTTAACTTATCGATCTCCTAACGTACTAAATAAAAATGGCGGAAAGACAAGAAAAATTTCCGGTTGGTCGGAGGTGTGAGGATTGACTGCATATTAAAATTGATCAAGTGAAACCGATTTTCATGTATTCGGATTTCCGTTTTCCTGGTGTTGCGTTGATCAGATATCAGGCCTAAAATGGACGTAAATAGCTAATAAAATTGTTATTCCGATTCGGTCATAAATTACCACAGCAGCAAAGGCTTCCCCCTCTTACTTTCATCCTAACTCTTCCAAGTGACACTCAGAGCACTGTGTCGCGATACAGGTTTTGGTCATTCTCAACTGTTCCAACCAGCTTCACTGGCTTCTTATCAGACTTCAACAGATTCTGTTGATGGTAGAAAACATCGGTATCATAGACACGTGAAGAACTTAACTAAGTCGAACCAAGAATCCGAGCGTGAGTTGTATCAGGTGTTTAGATTTCATTATCATCTTTGGGTGAAGACTTCACGTTGCAAACTTAGTATGGACAAGTTAATTACGGTTACACTCAAAGCGCTTCCCCAAAATGATAAACTACTTTTGTGGTTCCTCAAGCTCTTGCATTGAACTTATTGGCATATATTAGGTCTATGAATAATGTTTTTTTCGAGGTAGACAAGATTCGCAATGTCTCACAGCCGTTTGCTTAACTACCTTCTATCCCTGGTTGCCACTTAGGTACAGTCTTTGGTAGAGGAGGCATTTTACCATGAATGATGTCAGTGACGGCAAGGCTAGATGAGAACAAGGTGTTTTACTGTCGTTCAACCATGTCAGTTTATTTTAGTAAAGAATTACGGTCAGAAAAAGAAAAAACCGGATAGGGAAGCGACCTAGGGTCTGCCTACCACAAGTATCCGAGGTTCCTAGGCCTCCAGCATTCGCTCAGACGATCTGGATGGAAACTGATACCATGTAGGCCATACCGTTCAGTATTTCCACTCACGCCCAGAAAGGGATAGTTGAAGCTTTTAAATATACGAGGTTACAGTAAATATTGAAAACATTTGCTACTATTTCTGCCCAAGAATATGACAACAAACCCTATAGTCAGCAGACAGTGGCGCACGTCCTTGTCAATAGCTGTGTTGAACGAAAACATCACGCGCTATCGACGGTCCCTAACAGCGAGCTCTGTTAGTGAGGCATCGACAAGCATAAATCGCTGAATAAGCTATTTAACTGCGTGAAGCGCTTTTTTGTCCTTTTAATTCGTTTTTTTTCAATGATCTCAAACTTAATTGTATGTCAACATCCAGTCCGTTCATTTATTTCAGAGCAGTCCAACACCGGGACATTGGTCAGTCAGTGCAAAGTGGTTTCGACGTCTACTGGACAACTCAATGTTGAGACAAAGAGACTTATTTTCAAGTAAAAAAGGGTCAATCAAACCACCCGGAATACTATTGAGCGAGAAAAAACGGGAGGAAATATTGCGTTTTTCAGAACAAACAGTTCATCACTTCAGATTGAGGATAGATCCCCGTCATGTGAGTGATAGTTCCATGGTCAAGATGAAACGTCAACTTTCTCTAACCACTGAAAGTTTCGTAAGTAGAATTAGATGAGTTCAACTCCAAGTAGTAAAATATAAATGTTCTAAGTGGGCTAAAATGACTAGAGCCTACAGAAGTGAAGCGATATGTACCCTAGGTGAGGCGTTTACTCTAGGGCGTCTATCACAAGCAAAGTCTAATTATGTCATACTAACAATCGCGCCTCGCACAGTTCCTTAGGATGCGCTTCAACACTATCAGCTGCACAGCTGTTTGACTGCTAGTTCTTTGTCTGAAGTCATGCTCCCATCGCGTTTTTGTCAGCTGTTTGTTTGACGTTCATAAAATACCAACACCACAACCCACAACCATGCACTGAATGTTTTGAAATGGCACAGTGGAAGTAAGAGTTGAAACAAGACTGTCCAAGCAGGTGGTTACAAGAGAAAATGAAGTTGTGCAGACGTAATACGCTGCTCATAAGGTTGGTGGAAACTCTGGCAGTCAACAACTGGTTTCGCCCTTCTTGGAGCTCATCAGAGAGGGAAAGTCCCCGAGGGTTCGTGAGCTTCATGTTCTACCTGAACCCTGGTTGCACGAAAATCGACAAATGCACTCATCTGCTTACCAGTTAAGTGTATAGAACCCAGCTTAATCTGAAAAGAACATCGTAAACGAGAGGTTCAACTAAGTTTCAGGAAATTCTCCCGTTAAAGCCAAGTTGTTTTATAGATGAGTGTACAAGCGGAAAATGAAGCTTTTCAACATGCAAGGTGGTTATTTTTCGAATATCTCTCCCATGTAGATCGAAGTACAAAGAGACTTTTAATCTATTCAGAATACTGAGTCACTGGACGGAGTGCTGCAAGCTCCGTGTACATCACAGCTAAAAACCATCTCAGAAAGCATATTCACTTTGATAATGTGGTGACTTAGTAAGAAACATATTCACACCATTAAAGGAAGAGGCAGATCGCTTTCTCCAAAACTGATCGCATCCTGATTTTAGCAGTTTAGAAGAGGAAGTTTGGTCTTTAATGGCAAATTTGCTCTCTAGCTTTACACATTTTGGTTTTGGACTTAAATAACATTTTTGAAATATTGGTGCCAAAAAATGCTTAACCGTCTAATTTATGCCAAGAAACATGTCACTTTCTCAAACTTAGGCTTGTTTATTGACTACTACTTCGAATCTATATGTCCTGTGATGATGGATTGATGAAGGTCCTCGCCTACTTTTCCGTTCTGATGAGAACACAAGTCTACAACTGACTTTTTACTCCGACGGGTTAACGCTCTGCGGTCGCTTGCTTCCTAAACCCAACCGTTCATTAAAGAAGTATGTATTGCAGACAACTGAGGTGAAGGCTTTCAACCAGATAAAATAATGAATCTCGTCTTGAATCTGCTGTTTGCATATCCCTCATCTTCACTAGGGAGTTTGAATACGTAATTTTGTATGGATTTGTCATTCCGTCTCATACTAAAATTGATGAGTTCACCAGGCTTGAGTGATAGATTGAGGCAGTCCGACCAGTCTATCATCAAATCAGCCAAATTGTCTTTATCCATTCGATATTCAGGTCGCTTTCTTCGTTTACCAGTGGGAAATTTACCGATTGCGACTTTTGGCCGAGTTGAGGCAAAAACACGTCAACTTAATACAGGAGAGAAAATACCGTCAAAAACAAATGAGTGAAAAAATCCGTGAAGAGGCTGAGGCAAACGCTAGGAGGATTAGCAAAGCAAAGACATTTGATGAGTTCAAACAGGTCATCTTTGGTTCTAACTCAGCTGACGTCAAAACAACTGCCAAAGGAAAATTTCAGATGCCTATCAAAGCAGTTATTGGCCCTCGAATTGAGCATCCCGTTCCAGAACAACCCGAAATCATCTCTGCAACATCTAGTAAACTGCAGTTTCCGAAGGCCAGCGGAGGTGGAGTGATGGTAAAAATTTCTCGCTCTACGAGAGACATCAAGCCTGAGGATTACGAAACTGAAACTGCCACCGTAGAAAATACGGGCTTTGAATACGAAGAACAGGATCCTGTGGACGAAATACCCCAAGGTAAGTAGTAAAAATCGATCTGTCAATCAGAGGCAACTCGGAACAAGTTAACTGAAATCTCAGGCTTCAACTGCTTGAAACAATATCTTACAATATCACATGCTTTTCCAAAGCCCATGAATCCGTGCGACTGATAAAGAGCCGTAACAACCGCCTTCACAGTGCATTAGAGTAGTGAGTAAATTCATTTCACCCACTTTTAACAGAGGCAAAAACCATCTATATACCCATAATGTAAACATAAAGAGGTAGCCAAAATGGAAGTAAAAGAAAGGGATGCAAAAAGTAAGCTTGCAGCAGGCGTCGAGAATAGCGTTTTTGAGGCTCGTTTGCACTTCAGCTGAGTAACCGATTTTGGAGTTACCCTTAGCTCGCATTTGAATGTACATCGCCTTAATTATTCTGCAGTATATTTCAGCATTAGTTAGATCTCTGGCTTACAGATGCTGCTCAGTTCAAAAGTTTCATGATCTGCAAGCCAATCTTGAAAAGTTATTGAGAGAAGCCTGACTACTTGATAGGCTGTTGTCAGCAACAGTGTGGTCCTTATGTGGATTGTACAGTTGTATGGAATCGTGCGTTTATCAGAGTTTATCATCTCTGCACATCTTCGGTCATTGCACGTCGTGAACACCTCTTGTCCCACATATGGAACTACGGATTTGACTTACCTGTCAGACACATATTAGTTATCTGCTCTACACTGGAACTTGTACTTGCACTAGACAAGGAGGGAAACAAGTGACTTTTCCTCCTGTTCTAATTAGCTTCTAGATCGGTTTCTAGCTGCTGAATATCTTCAAGTAGCTTCAAGGATAGA